ATGGGATTGGGGGTCTGTGGGAATTTTTTCACGCTTTTCAGTCGGTCCGTCTCTCCCCGACCCCTTCTGCGAAAGCTTGTTTTCTTCTTTCTTGTTGCTGTTTTTCGCACAATCTCCTGTGCTTGCTTTCGTACCCTCATGAGTGAATCGTAAAAGAGTGGCACTCGTCCATACCTCCTTGTCTAACCCCCCCCCCCCCCCTCACTGTTGTTTTGTGTGGCTTATGTATATACACCGAAAAAGCAGGGGGTACCCGCAGATGGTGATGCCATGGAAGACTCAGAGGAAGGGGAAGGAGAAGGAGGGGAGGGGGGCAAATCCTCCCCGACCCCCGCTTCCAAGGACGAGGTTCCGTCGAGAGAGCTCGTGACGGTAACGCCGTACAAGCTTCCCAACCCAGGGCCGTACCCGCAGGTCAGAGATGGCTCGTGGCGTTGCTTTGTTGTTCGTGGGGGGAGTGGGTGTACTCATGTACCCGCGTGACGTAGTCGTTAGACGACCCATTGATTGACCTCGCATCCCTACAATGCCGGGACGGAGCGGTATGCCGGGTTTTCGTCGGCCCAGGCTACGTTTGGCAACGACGAACCATAAGCTTCCTTGCGTTTGGAGGTGGGGGGGGGGAGTGCCATTGTGGAGGCAGGAGGGGCACCGGTGTTGCATTTTGGCTGTTGATGGGAGTGTTTGCTTGTTGTGGTGTGTCGATGTTGTCCAGTGCCGCGTGGCGTGAAGTTGTTTTTCGCGGCGCAGGAGCTGGAGCCGGTCGCCCTGTTCGCCCAGTTGGTAGGTAACCGCGCAACCCTCTGGCGTGTGTTGGATGTGAGATTTGTGTGTTTTGGCGCGGAGTTACAACACAGGATTTCTCAGATCTTGCGCACAAGCTGCATGGCCATGCGTTGTGTGTGTGTGTTTTTGTTTATTATCTGTAACTGCTTTGTAAGAACACAGCGACAACGGCGAACGCCAGGAGCAGCAATGCTAGCAATGCACACAAACAACATGGTCAATCTGTTGGGGGGCCGGTATAGCGGCCCCCTGTTTAGCGACATGTCCTGTTTTTGCGACCACGAAACCACGTCGCGACCGCCGCACCCCGGTATCATGTACCGCTGTGTAATTGGTAGTTCGGTTTGGCGAGCTGCCCTGAATCGTGACACTAGGGGACGCTAAACCGGGCCCCCCACTGTATCCGCTTTGTGACAACACAACGACGGCAATAACAACAACAACAATGCACAGAAACAACATGGTCATCTGTGTGGGGTGTTTCGTTAAAGTGTGTATCTGCTTTGTGACAACACAACGGCGGCAATAACAACAACAATACACAGGAACAACATGGTCATCGGTGTGTGTGTTTCGTTAATGTGTGCACCTGCTTTATGACAACACAACGGCGGCATTAACAACAACAACAAAACCAACTAACGAGTACGGCAATGATGGCGATGATGACGATGATGATGATGACGACAGGATGTCCCCAAGAAGAACAAGGTGCGCTTCACGCCGGTCCAGATGGAGGCCATCCGCAGCGGCATGAACCCGGGGCTTACCATGGTCGTCGGGCCGCCTGGAACAGGTAGGATAGGATGTTGGCGCTGTCGTCATCGATGTCGTTGCCTGATCCTTTGTTAATCATGAAACCTTTAGTAAAACGGTTCTAAAACAGTAAAACTTGTGGAAGTACTGTACCTCGTTCTGTCTCTACCCTCTTGAGGAGTATGTACTATGCGTGGTTTTTCATGTATCCTCCTTTTTTTGCTGCTGCGTTTGCACCCGTTGGGTGGCTGCCCTACGTGTGTACATAGGCATAATAAGCGTGGCGGTCCCCGGTGTTGCGTAACTTGTACCTCGTGCCTTTTTTTGTCCCTCTCACCACCAACGTGTGTGCGGTTGTACTGTACCCTATTGTGTGCAGTTACCCTTTTCTTGTTACTGTTATGTCTAGGGATGTAAGTCGGTGAGAATGATTTGACTGGTGTACCATGATGGAACAATATGTATTTTGAGCCCGTTTCTACTCCGCGGTTCGTTTTTTCGGTACCGCTGTACCGCTGTACCCTTGTATGTCGTCGTGGCTGCCGAACGCTTCAGGCAAGACGGATGTGGCGGTTCAGGTGATCAGCAACCTGTACCACTCTTTCCCCAACCAAAGGACCATTATGGTGGCGCACAGCAACGCCGCGCTAAACGACCTCTTCGAAAAGATCATGGAAAAGTGAGCAAGACCAGGGCGTTTATTGTTTTTTTAGGCCCTTTGGCAAAGAGGGGTGCACGGGGGGGGGGGGAGTCATGTTTTGCATGCCTTAGCGATTGTTTGACCATTGACCACGCGTCCTCGAGAGGATGGAGCATTGTTCCCAAAGGACCGATCACCGATGGACAATCGCACGAGATCATAGGAAAGTGAGCAGTAGCAGGGCGGGGGGGTGAATGCTTTTCGGCCTCTTCGCGAAGAGGCGCGCGGGGGGGGCGGCATACTCACGTAGACGCATGCTGTATTCGTTGGACCATTGACCTCGCATCCCTATTTTGGTAGACGCCGGGAGGGAGCGATATGTTGAGTTTTCGCCGGCCCAGGCTACCGGTTCACAAGGATGAACCCGGAGGTTTTTTTCTTCTTTGCTTTTGTTGTCCCACCCCAGATATCCCTTGGGTTGATGGTTGGGGGGGGGGGGGGGCGTGATCGTGGCGTCGCGCACCAGCATGTCGACGAGCAATACCGCCGATTCAGAGTATTAATAGCTTTGAGCAGGATACATACATGAGAGTGTTGGCTTCCCCGACCATCGCTGCTGCGAGTGGCAAGCACGACTTGGCGCTCCCGCAAGGTAGGGTTGTGGAAATTCACGCCCACGGAGAGGGTGGCAACAAGCACGTAGTTGCGGTTTCCGCGTTAAGGAAACGAGAGCTTGATTATCACTACTACCGCCGTTCGTTACGAGTAAGAAAATGAACATCATCAAAGATCACACCTTTAATCTCCAAGTCTGTTGAATTTCCACCTCGCGGCCCTGTTCTGTGTGTCGTGTGTGTGTGTGTCGTTGGAGGTACAGTAGTGGCTGATTTCGTTTCATGTGGTTCCTGTGTTGCCGTTGTTGAAAGAACAGGGCGTTCAGAGTGTTTGCGGCGTTCTTCCTGAGAGCTGTCGGAAAATGTTTGGTGTTTCTTAGTGTTCCGTTGAAGATACCTACAGTAGCCGCGTGCTCTCTTCTGTTTTCTTGTGTGTGTGTGTGTTTTTTCTCATGTGCATTTCATTTGCCATTGATCCGACTCGGAGAGAGAGATGGAGCGAGCGAGAGACAGAGACAGCCAGAGACAGAGACAGAGACAGAGACAGAGACAGAGACAAAGACAGAGACACAGAGAGAGAGACAGAGAGACAGAGAGACAGAAGAGACAGAGACAGAGAGACAGAGACAGACAGAGACAGAGACAGAGACAGAGACAGAGACAGAGACAAAGACAGAGACACAGAGAGAGAGAGAGAGACAGAGAGAGAGAGAGAGAGAGAGAGGTAAACATCTCAGTTCACCTTTTCCCTGTCTTGCTCGATTTTCATTTTTTTCGTTTTTTTCTTTATCCGATGTTTTTTTGTTTCTTGCGGTGCAGGGACATCGACGAGAGGCATCTGCTGCGTCTGGGAGCGGGCGAACGCGAGCTGCGCGAGGACACGATGAAAGACTTTTCCAAGTTCGGACGTGTCAACTACACCCTCAAGCGCAGGCTCGAGCTCCTTGCAGAGGTCCAGAGGTTGGCGGAGACCATCGGGGTCGAAGGGGTGAGAGGGTCAAGGACATGCACGACCTTTTTAACGTGTGGGAGGGGGAGCACGAAGTTTTTTTTTTTTTTCTCTTTGGTTTGAGCGCGGAGATACAACACGTGCGGGTGTGTGTGTGTTTCTTGATCTACTTTAATTTACTTCCCATATTCGTACTTGTTGTCTAGAAACCAACGACATGGTATTTTAAAAGAACAGGTATAACACAATCATGGGCAGTGGGAACCATCAATTTTCAACTCGTTTGGTGTGATTTGTTTTTGCATCTTCGGAACGTTACATTCTTAATCCCCCCGGCCTCCTCCTTATCGATCACCACACCGACGGCGGCTTCTTGTTGACACGTATTTGACGATGTTGATGCCTAAAACAGGACGTCGGGTACACGGGCGAAACCGCCGAGTACTTCCAGCTCTTCCACGTCACCTCCCGCATCGAGCGGTTCGAGGCGGAGCTGGAACAGCGCAAGCCCACGGCCCCACCTTCTGCTACCGCTTCCCCCGAGAAGAAGGGCAGCAAGAAGAGCAACGGTAAGGAGGCGGGGGGCGGCAATGACGCGGCGGCAGCCGGTGTCGTGAAGGAGCTGTTCCCTTTCCACGGTTTCTTCGCCAACGCTCCCGCTGGCGACAAGCTGTTCGGGGGCGTGGACGACGGGGAGGACCTGGAGGTGGCACGGGGCTGCTTCCGGCACATCAGCAAGGTCGGTTGTTGCTGTTTGCTGTTTGTTGTTTGTTGTTTGTTGTTTATTGTTTGTTGTTGTTGTTGCTTTTTGCTGTTGCTGTTGTTGTTCCTGTGCTGTTGCTGTTTGTTGTTCCGATGGGGTCTTCGAAGTGTGTGCATACCCGTTTTGGGGTAGTTGACCTTTGTTTTAGTTTATGGCCTATGCCCGTGTTTAGGCAGTGGACCTTTGTTTTGTTTTATGGTGGTGGCGTCATCGTCGTTGTTGTTGCTGGTGATGGCGATGGTGATTGATGCACAAGGGAGCCCATGGGCGCCACCTCTTTTGTTACACTCGTTCGTTTCTGTGCATGTTTGAGAAGCTCGCATTCTGCTTCTCGCCAACCCTCGAAATTTCTTGGAAATTTCTCTCTCTCCCCCCTTTGACCTAACCTGTCTGCAATCGCAAACAACTCACGAATCCGCACGACGTCTTCTTCTT